ATTCAAATAAATGCCAATAAAAGTAAATATCGACGCGCACACAGTGACTTTTGTCCATAATAATAAACAAGTCTATAAGGAAGATACTCGTCAATACGAGCTACCTTAGGTAGATAAGAAACGAGAGTCGTTGAGAGTCGTCAACGGAAAGGAACGACATTCCAAACTGAAGAACGCCTCATACACTTCTTCCTTTATTTCTCTCTCACCGTAGCTATAGAAATACTAGTGTAGACGGCACACGCAAGTGCTAGGTGAATTAGCGTGATCGAGAGCGCGAACGCGTTCAAGGTCGTGCTCGGATTCCTTTGTGCAGTAATTATCAAATACTTCAACATATTTCGCTTAGCACCAACTATTCTATTTGATATTTTGCTTTCTTATCAAAAATAATCTATCACGAATATGGTATGCAAGATTATTTGTAAATGCGATAAGAAATTATAAAGAATCTGTTATCTGTGAATATTACGATTGAATAAACTCTCTGTAATTAGCGAAAATTTCAATAATATTTGATAGTAAGGAAAAAAAACGAAATAAAAATGTGCTTAAATGGAATCGAAAGCATTGGCGGTAAGGAATTTCGTCAAGGTTCATGAATGTACGATGCGAATGTACGATGCGAATGTACGATGCGAATGTACGATGCGAATGTACGATGCGAATGTACGATCGAGTTTCGCATCCTCGCCGGACGATGCCGGAAAGGAACGTTACAAAGAAAATACCTTCTCGACCCTTCCTAACGCGTTATTTCCTCTGAGAACTTCCTCTCTTCAATCTTTTTCGTTCTAAGATCGAGATTTCCTTTTCGTCTTTCCTTTCCAAATGGAAACAAAAAGATATTAATGATAAAAGGAAACACGAAAGAGGAAGCTAAGAATCGTTGCTATAAAAGTGGCAATCCAGATGACCAAGAGGAGGACCGGACTGCGTAGTCGGCGGTGCAGTTGGCGGTGCAGTTGGCGGTGCAGTTGGCGGTGCAGTTGGCGGTGCAGTTGGCGGTGCAGGCGATAAGATAACCGTCGCTTAGATTAGAGGACCTGTTTTCACAGCAAATTTATCGCCAAGACGTACGTGCAAAAATGCACTTTGTCGGCGTCGTGGTATCCACCATAACGAATCGGCAATACGCAGGTGTCGTTCGCTCTTTCCGATGAAATTTACACAAAAATATATCCAAGTTCCATGGTGGTCGTGTCAATAAAGAAGAAGTAATTGTAATAGCTTCTTGAAGATTCATGGAATTTACCGAACCTATCAAATGACTAATTCTTAAGTAATAAACATATCTTTCAATGCAATTCTTCTGTTAACTAAACGCGAAGAATCATAATCTTTCGATTAGAAGAAAAAGTAATAGAGTATATGAAGTAATAGAGAAATGTATGAATACTCGAATAATTAATTGAAGAAAACTACTTGAACTACTATAAACTACTGGTGGTTCATATCTAATAATCGTCGATTTTTTATCGTAATACAAATTTGTCAGTTTTTCCTAATCATGCCAAAATTGATAAGCAGAGTAACGATATAATATAATAATAGGCAACAAATGGATTGACGACACGCACCGTAGATAAGATATCATAACTATCTATCCTCAACAAAAAATCTCCGAAATCCGACATACGATAAGTTGGTATTGTCATAGAGAAGATAAGACGAGAAAATCTCAGCTTCGACCACTTGGGTCTTTGACTCGTCTCGATAATTTCTTATCTTGGTTTCAAGAAGATGAGAGAAAGAGAATAAGACGACAAGCCAAGGAGGTGTTCTTCCTTTCGACGAAAGTCAATATTTATACGACGGACTCTGTCACAATGGTGGTCATCGTTTATCTGTTGTACATTCCAAAGAAAAAGTTGGTGCTTTGGAGCACCAGCATCAGAGCTTCTTCTTTTCCTCTCCACAAGTGAAGATTTGTGTTCCTATGCATCATCCATCCTCATTCATGATAAACTGATTTTTTCTTCGGTTAAAACGTTAACTTTATTTAGTGAAATTTATAAGTAATATATTATAATCGATCTCTCTAGAAATCAAAGTATCGAATTCCGACGTTATAACTACTCTAAAGATTATCTCAAGAAATAATCCTGAGCAGCAGTGACGAATAGAAAGAGAATTGGAAAAAGAAAAAGAGCAAAGTATCGATGAGTTCCTTTGAAAAGGAATCGTGCACGATAGTCAGGGTCACGTTCTCAAGCGGAACTCGTATTTGTATCAAGCACAACTATTGCTGCGCGCATACACACAAATGCTACAATAAGAAAGAGTAAGAGAAGTAAATCGTTAAAGTTGTTGCAGCAGGCGAGTTCTCGTGATGCCGTGGCGAACTCTTGGCACATTGAGAGATCTCCACCTCGTGACCTACGCCACGAAGGAAACTATTCGTGCGATGCGATGCGATGCGATGCGATGCGATGCGACGCGATGCGATGCGACGCGATGCGATGCGATGCGATGCGATGCGATGCGATGCGANGCGATGCGATGCGATGCGATGCGATGCGATGCGATGCGAACAACCTAACTTAAGCTAACCTAACTGAGTCGAACCAAAACGTATCGGCCGGCCCTCGTCACGGCGCGAATGTTGCAGGGCAAAATGGAGCAAGGATCGACACGACAGGGCCGTGTCTTACACGAAAGATGAATACGCTCGATATGAACTCCCACAAGACCCTAGTCTTGGTTGCTCGCTTGTTGTTTGTTTGGTTGGTTAGCTTGATTGTTGTCTACTTTGGCACACGTCGTGTATTCAAGTGTGTTACTTTCCACTCAAATTCATTGATCGTACACCGTCAGTCCAGTTATTTTACCTTATTATTTTGTTAGTTATTACATACCGGATTCGAGAGAGTGTCGCCTTTTATGTGTTGCTCTCCTTACGTCTGATGCGAATCGCAAACGTTATCTCGAATCCCCTCGTACCATGCTAAGATCTTTGTATCTTATTGCCCTATCAAAAGGCGTATGCGCGTATGAGTACAAATAAAATAAGCATTTCACGAAATACCTACATTCGTGAGATTCGAAGAATATGGAATCAACACGATCGGAATTTCACACCCGTTATTAAATTGACGAGCCCGTAGGACGTTGACTTTCTCGGGATGGATCCACAACCAATTTGAGAGAAATCTTTCGTCGACGCTCGTAGTGTCTTTGCGAGAATTCGCATAATCGTTGATGAATACTAATGCGCCAAGCTGGACGAAAGAAAAGAAAAACCAGATTCTCAGGTTTCGAAACTCTTCATGAAATTGAAATCGAGATTCGAAATAATATCTTGCCATCTTCCTACTTATTTTACATTCCGCTTTACATAGCCTTCTCATACCCTGTTGCAATAATTACAAATGATCTAATAGTAAACTAAAGAATTACTTGTTGTAAAATAAACAAAAAATATTTGTCGTCAGGTGCAAGAGATATAACACAGCATGCGATTATTCTCGGTTCGCGCCTTAACACCTCTTCCACATAGGAAGGAATTCGCACAGCGGGCGGGCACGATTATCGATCGGTCGCCGATCGTAAAGTAGTTCTTTGGATCGAGATGACGTCAGTCAGTATCGAACTATACGTTCCAAGTTCTAACTCGATGCAGCACAATTTATAGTACAACTACAACTTAGACGCTCATGCGTGTATTAGGTATACTATTGCAAACAATCGTTTGTAATATTTTTTCCCTATTTATTTTTTTATTCTCTTCCAAAGTAACTTTATCTCCTTGATTATACCTTAGTAAGTAGGCTAAGGAGATTGAGTCGTTCTGTTAGGATTACGGTGTACCGTAACGATTTATGATTTATGCTATTTGCTACATGATTTGAATTTTCACCATATCAAAATTGGCTTTATTTTGATGTTTTTTCTTGGATTTTGTCTAATTTTATGATAAACTTTTTCTCATAGTATCTATTTTCAACAAAATCAAATACCTTAGTCTCTTAATGTATGTTACTATTATAATTGGACGATAATAAAATAATAAAATAAATTTAAACCGGTTAACATGAGAAAACATAAATAACAAGAGTGACACCAATTAGGAAAGATTCTATTAAAGTCGAATGAAATCTCTTTTTCTTAGGCCACAACAAACTCGTCATAATCCAACGACGTTCTCCTTTTTTTATTTTTCCATGGTCGTCGTCGTCGTCGTCGTCGTCGTCATCGATAGGACAAGGGGCGGTAACGATGGGATGGATTCTCGCGTTTTGTCGTATAACTCGTTCCAGAATCGGTTAAGACTTTAAGAACTTACTGCAAACTAGATTCGCTGCTAACATGGCTTCCGCACAGTTTGCTACTTCATCTCCTGCCTGTGTGCGTGTGAGTGAGTGTGTACATCATATGTGTAACAAAAAAGACTTGCGACAGGCGTGCGGATGCCGTATTAGTGACACGAATGCGGTAGACCACGTGTTTTATTTACATCCACCATTAATACCGACGAACCACCACCACCACCACCACCACCACCACTAAGATACCTTGGACAACCGATATCCTATTGAACAAATGAGACAACGAGGTCACTGCCAGTCCACTATGATTGACCGGAAGGAAGGGAGCTTGTATATCAACAAGATCGTACTTCCTTTCTTTCGAGAAATTTTCCATCTTCCTGTTAACCTTCCACGTGTCTCATTAATTTTCTTCTTCTTTTAATTAATAAAGAATACAAATTATAAAGAAAAATGCATTTACAATTAACATTAAATATACTCGTATAATAATTTATTCATATAATTATTCATTTAATTATTGTTTGAAGAAATTGTTAGATCTGCCTGAAGAATTAAAGTTTGTCGCGTGTTAAAGTGTCGGGTGTTGTGTCTCACGCACAAAAGAACATTTCCAAGTCTCTGGGAATAGCGGCAACACTTTTATCCTCTTGACCATGACCGGCAGATAACACCGCGTTGATGTCATTTTCGATTCTGTTCAGATACATCATACACTATGTACATTTCCGACGAACGAACGAGCATCCGTTTGAACGCTCTCGCATGTCGATAATTACAATAACTATTTTGAAATTAATTGGATTTTTCAATAAATTTTCAATGAATAAAGTAAAAAAAATACAAATGTCAATATAACAATCTAAAGTCGGATTATGTTAGCAGCTTACTTTTGTTAAAAGCACCTTAACGATCGTTTAAACTCTTGTTGCGTGTTAGCGTGTAACGCGTTAGCCGTAATCTTCGTGATGTAAGTATTGTAAGTAAGCCATCAAAAATAAAGCGTGTGACTTATTTAACACGTACGAATCTAAACGTAAATCTATATGATGTACATACTTGTATACTAACTAACCATAAGATCGAATGGGTTACCCGGTTATGATACGAATTATTATAGTAGTTGGCTACTGTTCGTCGTACAGCCGTAACGTAAGCCTAACTCTCTTTCTGCAAATGCATCAAGATAAATTACAACCGGGATGGTGGGGCCTTTCATTGAACTACCACGAGCGGAAACGAGAGCATCATGCTTGCTCTGTGAGAAATTCTATTCGACCTCCATTGGCTTTACTCGAGGAGCTTGTGAGCATTCGACGATTATTCCTTTGAAATAATGTCTTCTTCTCTTTCCCGTATCCGGTAAGAACAACAACGAAGTCAACGACAACGAAGACGAGAGACGTTTAACGGTACTACGCAATCTCAATTACTACAATTGGCAAAGTTGTGTAGTATTTGTTGTAGTTAGCGGAATTTTCCTAACATAAGAGAAAAATAAATCTAATAATTTCCAAGTTCGCTTGCATTTTTTCTTAGTATTAGGAATTAAGCTGCTTTAATAGTTGACTACTGCTTGGCCAATCGATTCTTTTTCAGTACTTTTAATATATATATATATATATATATACATTTTATTTTTTTTTCCCGCCCTTTCTCTCTTATCCTTTCTTCATTTTTCTCTTCTTTTCTGTACTTTTAGCTCAAGGCTATATAGAGCCGCTCGATCCTTGCGTGGCTGAAAAGAAGCAAAAGAAGCAAAAGAAGCAAAAGGAGCAAAAGGAGCAAAACTCTGAAAGAGAAACAACGAGAAATGGTAAATAAGCCTTTGTGCTAAAGAAAGAACACCCGGAGGATTCGAACGATCCGTAATAACTGTCTACCGCGTTTCTTAGCAGTAATGATATGGACTCGTATTATGCTTTCCTTTTCTAAACGCTATAAGACGACAAGTCGTCTTATACTAGTCCTCTATCTTCCAATATGATATTTATGAGCTGAAATTTATGTTGATGGGGAGACGGCGAAAGTGAAATAACGATAAAACTGAATGACATATTCGATGATTTTCTTCATTGAAAATAGAATATTTTCAATCGTATTACGAACTAAATTCACTCTAGTCAAAAAGAATGAAGAATAAGTGAAGACAATGAAAAATAAATAAAATGTTTACAAGTAAAATATTTTTGTCTACACAGTACATACTTATGGGATCCCTTCGGTGTGCTATAAATACACCTAGCAACAAAACTTATCGATCGTCGGCGTATTCCATCAGGATGTTAGCGGGATATTTACGTATTAAGGCCCCCCAGGGGCAGATACGAACGTGCCTACGTCTTCCGGTAACAAATTAATTTCGTGTCTCCCTTTGGACGCGACGTCAAGGCCCTCGACTCTATGTGTGTGTGTGTGTGTGTGTTTAGGTAAACGCAAATCCTATTAGGACACGTGGCGCGTAGGTGTTATACAATATCGAAAGGCACGTTCAGGAGATATTAGTTGATGCACGTGTGTACGTGCAAATATCAAAATCTTAACTTGCTTTAATTATTGACTATTTCGATTTAATACAATATTATACTTAGGTAGGACTTCTATCTTGAAATTTTGTACGTTTTGTTAGATACGAACGTGACTTGCCGGTGTAAACGAAATTTTCTAATCTTTAAAACTAAAACAACAAAATATTAAATTAAATTGTAAGAGGAAGCGTTATTTTCTATCTTGGAGATAGAATTATATCGTATTGCGAGAGATATCGAATAAAAAATAAAGCAACAAAAAAATAATTCTAATCCGAAACTGCACTTAGACTTAGTGATATTAAGAGTTCTAATCTTGATTCTTTAATCGTAATAACCCATAGGAATGGTGTCACGAACACTGAGTACAACGAAGAACGTGACGCAACATCCAACAGTCATCTGTCCTATTATTTTATGACCCTATTCGCATTCACAACCGATAAGCCTTTATCCTGTTCTCTTCGTTTCTTACTTACATTATAGACATCGTTTGTGAACGACATAAGTACTTACATATCATACATACATACATATATACACTTACATAGCAACAAAACGCGGCTCATATATATACGCGAAATAATTTAATACTTTTCTAATATCGTTTTCACATTTCTCGGCGTTGAAAGATAACTGACAATATATATAAAAATAACTATGAAGTAAATCACACTATGCTGTGACTGTAAATCTTCATAGTTGAGATTAAGCTCGAAATTTTAATGAGTCCTGATGAATCCCTACAACTGTGTAGAATTTTGTTAAAAATCCAAAAATGTCCAATACAACATAAATAGATACCTGTATTGTGCATATACAGATAGATAAATACGTATTTCGTGGTTCGTAATCAAAGAAACATACGTAAGTACTCGCGAACGATAGTATCAATTTCGCTAATCGACATTAGCATTCCAAATGTCAATTCTGATACGTTGTAATAAATGTGCGTGTGCGTGTGCGTGTGCGTGTGAGTGTAAGTGTAAAATTGCAGTACCAGGAGGTCAACGTGTGTCTGGTATTGCGGAGGGTCGGTAAGATAAGAGGGTTAAGGGGGAAGAGGGTGTAGGATAAGGGAGAAAGTTGCGAGTGTCGTGCAGGCGTAGTGCGGAATAAACGCTACCTCGCGAAGTATGACAGTGCTAAATGGTCTCAAACGTGTTCGTGCTATCGACACACCAACTCGATTTGATTTGAACACTAGCACGAACGAACCAACCAACCAACCAACCAACCAACCAACCCACCAACCAACCCGACTGCTTGAGAACTCTTTGAAAACAACTCGAGATGCCTATTAACGATCGCATTAAAGCAAATACATTGTATTTAAATATCAAAATATTCTGAACTAAGCTTTTTATTACATTTCTCGATATGCCGAGTCTTTGGCATACGAGTGCTGGTAGCTTGATTCTTTTATTTGACTCGTGTTTCTGTTAGTTTGTTACGATAAATATATCGTATTTACTGATAAGAAGGATAGAAAATTTGTGGGATCCTGAATTACAGGAGTTATTGGTTACAAAACTAATCATTTTGAAAATGTGTTATTTTATAGTTTGTAAATTTGTATGTTGAAAATAATTATATCGCTTATTATATTATTGACTTAAATAAAAAAAAAGAAAAAAATTTACGTAATTTTTTTATGTAAAGCGCAAAATGCCGAGAGTCTACGCCCACCTTTCTTTCCTTAGGTGACATTGGCAAGAATGTTTGCAAAAGCGATAAAAGCTACGAGAATATCGTAAATCTTTGAAGAATGAGCCATTGAGAAAACAACGCTACACTCGAGAATATAAGCGATAAGATTGTGCCTTGTATTCGAGTGATACGGAAATACGTTTAAACTTAGATAAAAAATATTGTTCACAAATATTCGATGGGATTTGAATATGAAGCAAGAAAGAAGAAAAAAACGATTTGACCGCATGATTCTACGCAAGGATGCGTCCTAGGAGTTAACTCGGCAGTAATCGGGGCCGATCGTTCCGTGCTCCATTAAGATTTCTATTTTCTTCTTCTTCTTCCCTTTATTTTTCTTTATTTTCATTTCTTACACCGAATCGATTAAATAGACTCGAAAAGCCCTGACCGCCGATGCTTCTTAACGCATCGTTAATTTCTAAGCGCATACTCCGTTATCGCGTATGGCAAATGAAATTACAGACTCAACGTGGCTCTGATTTTATCAGGAAATTTACGATAAGCGAACAAGTATACACGTTAAGATGTTAAAACAATTCAAAATTTAGTCGCACGTGAGTTTAATCTTTCTGGCTAGAAACTTGATCAAGCCTCTTGATTTTACGTTCTATAAAAGTGAAGCTTATTTTATGACAAATAAATTGATTATTAAAAGTAACAGTAAAATAAAAGAAAAGTACAAAAAATATGAAGATAAAAATTGATTTGAGAAATAAATGAATGAAGACTTCAAGAGACGCGACGTAGGAACACAGTTGTCTCTTTTAATGTCTAGCGCAAAAAGGTTGAAACGCCTAAACGAATCCATATCGTAATGTAATTGCCGTAAATGTCGCGCCCATTATCGTAATCGTAAATTGCGTATCAAGGAAGAAAGGAAGAAAGGAAGAAAGGAAGGAAGGAAAAAAGAAAGATTGTATAATCAAAGTCGATGTTTGACTGACACGGTAGAACAAGATCAGACAAGTAAATAGTACCTCTTGAGTCACCATAGTAGAAGAGGAAAAGATAATAAAAACAAATCTTTGCTTACCCATAAGTCATCGTTTAAATGTTCTCATCCTAGTTTAATTTATTCCTTTTCTTTCTGATAAGATTTTGTTGACGATAAATTTGGAATGGTTTAAATAGTTTAAAATGTAACAATTGCATTGGAATATTTGAACATATGACAATGAGACATCTGACACTAGAAGTTGCCTTTTCTATGTTCAACCTGACATTCAAGGAATTGTCTGTCGCAATAATAAAATCTTACACAATTAATGCTTGCTAAAATGTAGGAGGGAAAGACGGCGGCAAGCACCCGTTTTCTTTAATTGTCTTCTCTTCTAGCAATGATTGTTATTATTTGCGAACGCATAACTCGGAGAAAGGCTTAGAATCAACAGCAAGTGGATTGCTGCTGCTGCTGCTGCTGCTGCTGCTGCTGTTGCTGTTGCTGTTGCTGCTGCGTCTTCCTTAACGCAACTTCAAGTATTACTAATCGAGAAAGAGAAAGATAAGTAGCAAGTACTATGAATACAGATTATGTTTGAACGAATAGAATGTAAAAACAAGAAGAAGAATTAGTTAATATTAGAAGAGAGATAAAAGAGAGATAGAAGAGAGATAGATCCGAGTGCTATGACGAGAGGATTAGAAATAACGAAAGAACGAGTTTAATCCTTGGCATTCTTCGCGAATCAAAGGAGAGAGTCTCGAAATGGTAACAGCGATAGATAGCACGAAGAGCTTCGCGTAATTGCTCATAATTATACCTATAATGAGATCACGTCCTAAGCTGGTTCCCAACAATCTACGAGTTCAAAAATCGATCTAAATTCCAAACACAGGAGAACGAGAAATCGAAAGAAAGTGGATGGAGTTGGATCATTGGGTAATACGATCGATGCGTTTACCTTAACAAACTTACCTCAAAAAATAACGAAGGAAAAAAAATGTGAGGAATTTAGCATTTATGAGGATCTACAATCTTTCTTTACTTTCTCAACCTAAACAACATTACCATTTAAGTTGCACATATTTCAGCAACAGATATTCGTTATAATCTATTTAACAATTCAACCAAAAGAAAATATTTGTGAATGATGTTAACTATAGCCATTTGGAAATAAGAAATACCTGTACCTGTCAAATAATTGGTTAACAATCCCATATTCGGAGAAGCTTTTGTCTCAATTAATTAAACGAATATCTTCGTATACTATAAGTATACTATACAGTCACTATCATGTCACTAAATATCACCCGGTAATATGTGCGATTTTCAAATATCATAAATAATTAAAAATAATGCGCAACTTTATTTTAATGCCGAATCAAGAAAAAAAGGAAATAATGATAAGAGATATATCTACGTTTAAATAAGAACAACTTCCGACAATCGTGCTTACTAACTCTTATCTTCTGAAGAAATCGATCTATAAATCGATCAATACTTATCATCATCGGCAAATACTGTGGAAAAAGAAACAACATGTGAGAACAATAGAGAACTATTAAAATGTACTGTTTATTAAAAGTATAAATACTTAAAAATCTTGTAAAATTTCTTCAAATGATGACTATCAATTTTTACAATCACCAATATTGATATACATGTAGAGTACGATTTTTTCCTTAGTTTCGGATCTATAGCATGCATTTTCTTGCAATTGAACACGAAGATCATATTAACGTTGAGAGAATCGAAGCATCGTCATTCTCGATCATTAAAGTATACCACCATCAGTTGGCGTTGCGTTAAA